GTTATAAAAAATAAATTATTTTTATAATAAATTTTTTTAATTTTTTTAGTTAATAATTTTTTAATTTTTAAATTTAATTAATATATTAAAAAATAAATTAGAAAAAAGTAGGCCTTATTATTTAAAGTAGGCCCTATATATATTAGTACTTAAGTATATTTTAGTTAATTTAAATACTTACTTATACTAACTAATTTATACCTACTTATACCTATATAGCAACTTTACTAATATAATTTTAAGTAAACAACAAAGTACATATATTTTTATACACCTTAGGTTACTATACTTAATTTTAATTAAGTTTTTTAAAATTTAATATGCTATTATGTGCATTACTAATATATATAGTTATAATATAAATATAGCTAAAAACTATAGCTAAAATAGCTTTAATAAGTAAACTATATTCTATATACTAATTATATACTAATATATTTAAAAACTAAGCCTGCTAATGCTAAACCTTTTTTAAAGTTATTAAATATAGCAGCACAAGCTAAAACTAAAAGTGCAAGTATACTTAAACAAAGTATTTATATTTATTAAATATATACTAATTTAAATAAATAAGTTAAATAACTTATAAGTAAAATAATACTACTTTATAAAAATGCTAAAAGAAAAAAAATAGCAAAAAAAAAACTTAAAGCAAACTTAAAATTATAAAAGGCAACACTTGCAAATACTATAAAAAATATTAAAGTGCTTAAAAAAAAAAATAGTTACTTATAACTAAAAGTATATTTTATATAATTTTATTATTTTTATTTATATACTAATTATATTTTAGCAAAGCAAACCTTTACTGCTATATTTAAAAAGCAAAACTAAAACTATTTAAAGCAAGCTATACTTTTAGCTTTTTTTACTAAGCTTATAAAAAAAGTTATATAAAGCGTTACTTAAAAAGATTTTTATATTTAAGCATTTGCTTTTTAAGCGCTAAAAAAAGCAAGCAAAAAAACGCTTATAAGCTTATTTATAAGTAAGTATACTAAAGTTTAAATATACTAATTATGTACTAATTTACTATAGCTACTTTTTAAGCTACTATTTACGCTAGCTAGGTTATACTTTTTTTTAAAAATATTTATTTTATATTTTTTATTATAAAAATTATAAAATATATAAATATTAATAGCTTAAAGCTATAAAGCTTTAAATATTTATATAATAAAGCAAACATTTATAAATGCTTAGTTAATATAAAAGAGGTTAAAAAGGCTTGCTAAAATTTTAAAAAAAACAAGCTACTAAAAAAGCAGCTTTTAAAGCTAAACGCAATAAAAGCAAAAAAGGCAAAAAAAGCAAAAGAGGTATATAAAGTAAAAGTAGTAAAAGTATACTAGCTATAATGCTTATTATATTTTGCTTTACTTTAGCTAGTTAATTTTAAGCAATTACAAGTATTAAGTTTATAAATATGTTTTTTTATAAATATATAATTTTATATATATACCTATTACAATATATAAGTACCTATTGCTATATATAAGTACTTATCGCTATATATAGGTACCTATTGCTATATATAAGTACTTATTGCTATATATAGGTACCTATTACCATATATAGGTACCTATTACCATATATAGGTACCTATTACCATATATAGGTACCTATTACCATATATAGGTACCCATTAAATATTTCCATAGGTACCCATTACCTATGGCGCTAAAATGGACCCATGGGTACCTAAAAATTACCCATGGGTACCCATTTGCCAACCCTATCTACGATGAATGACAAAGGAGACAAGCATAGTCTTACGTAAAAGTTAAGCTTCTTCCTAGGGCAAATTGACAGTATGCATGTTGACCAGCTGCTGCAACCTGTCGAGCTCATCTAGGAGTAAGATCGCTTGCAAAGCATTGTTGGGCAAGCGATGTGCCTGTGCCTGTGCCGCAGAGATGATGCTCGTTGCAAAACGGAGCTGGCAGATCCTCTACCTTCAAAATCCGCACCTACGCGTACACTATACTCTTAGAGCGAATTTTGGCCCCGAATATCCAGCTAATAACAACAATTCCTCCGTGGCGCAATTGGCTAGCGCGTTCGACTGTTATCATGACAGGTAATCGAGAGGTTGACAGTTCAAGCCTGTCCGGGGGAGTTTATTTTTTGTCAATTTTTTCACGTTTTGTTCTTTTTTGCCCTGTTTTCTTTTTGGAGGGACGTCATGTCTACCAGACGCTACCACGAGCGGGAGTCCAGACTACGACCCATACATAATACGAGCCATCGGCATGCCAGAGGCACGCCTTCCAGCATGAGGTTTTAAGCATGAAACTGGGGATGCCCCCTGAAGGAAGAAGTAGAGGGGCCTGAACTTTCAAGGTACCTGTATGTTTAGGTAGCCTGACTGGGTCCCGTGTTTACGTTGAGAATGGCAATAACGATAGCGATGACGACGACGAGTGTAGGTGGCCTATATTAGAGGAGTCGAATAGGTGTTCCTTGGCACCGGATATAGCACGATAACTTCTCAGTATATTCTAGCATTCATTTCAAAATCTGTAAACTTTATCTGACTTGGTACAAAGCATAAATATCACTCATGAGCTCCTTGGGCATGGGACGTGGATGATTCTAACTCTAGGTGGAGCAGCTAGTCTAGTAATTGTATACCGGTTTCGTGACATAGGGGGTAAAAAGATGCAAAACCAAAACAACTAAATGTCCTGCCGATAGCTGCAGTTCCTGGTTGAATCGATGGGGAAACAAATCTGCTAGTTGGCTGATCATTATCATTAGCTCACTCGTGTTTGCATGTCCAGATCTCCGTTTCCTGGTAAGAAGTCCTCATGAGTTGCGGGATGATATGGTGGCTCACGATCGACAAATCGTCATGAGCGGGTAGCGCAATGTGCCTCTTATGGCACCGCAAGTTGGCAGCTATCCTTGAAAGAGCTTCTCCTCGGATTGCCACCACTTCAAGAATTCATGCATTCTCTGCGTGCGTTCTTTGGCGAGGTTGCGGCCAACGTCTGTCTTCATCATGCTCTCAATTTTCAGGAGCTTATCGTCAAAATGCTGGATGGGGTCAGCCATGGAGCCTTTGGTCTTTGCCCCGGAGAACGTAAAGGTTCTACCGATCCCAATGGCGCCAATAGCATCGAGACGGTCGGCATCTTGGACGACGGCAAGTTCTGGATGCGACTTGATCAATTCCAGAACCCGGCCCGGATTCTTGATCTCGCTCGAGTAGCTCACCCCAAGACAGACCGTCTGGACTTTGTTGGCCACTTCCTCGGTGGCGCCGTACGAGACCAGAAGATCTCTCACTAGTGAAGAGGCGTCCTCGCCGGGCTTGAGGTATTTCTTGTCGCCTACGTCATGGAGAAGGGCGGAGAGCTCGACCACGAGGGGATCGCGCTCGGATGGATTAGGAGTGTTGGCGTGTATGTGTTTAGCCAAGGCGAGGACACGTTGTATGTGGTTGAAGTCATGAGAACCATCGTAGTTTGCCATGTATGCCTCTACATATTCAGTTACCGTCTTGATTAGACCATCATTGATCACAGACGCGTCTATCGGAGCCATATTGGGCCACAGTTTTCGCTTCTCGTTTACCGAAAAGCTGTAATAAAATGGGAGAGAAGTGCGTTAGCGTGGTGGAAATAAGCGCTCATCGACACGCTATGTAAAGATCTTGACGAGGGATAAAGTGCACGAGACCCCTCCATTGCAAGTGCTTTACGCGGAAACATACCCGATTCAGAAAGTCGAGGGGTTGAGGAGTAGACGCGGCAAATAGCGCGAACAGGTCCACACACACGCACAAGCGCACCCGGATGGAGCCGGAAAGACGGGCAACTCAAGGATATTAGAAGCGTAGATAATGGGTAAGTTCCAGTCTAAGGGGAAGGTGGTATAGTCTATAAGGTCATGGTAGAGAATAGCGGTATGCAAGTCCCAACAGGCCGCAGAAGGTGCCGATCAATAGGGATGGCGATCTGGGTTGGGTCGTTTGGCGCGGCAATCGCTAGATTCTTTCTACAACTCTCTCAGCTTGACGCAGACAAATAAGCTAGATATGCGACCTTTCGGTGGAATGTTTGGCGATCGATACTACCTCGGACTGTATTGATTCTACAGATCTGGGCAAGAAACTATTGGAATTGTGGCCCAAATGCCGACCTTGTAGGCTTGAGTGCTCTGTAGGTTTAGCACAAGAATGAAAGCATCATTGGTAGGTTAGTCATGTGACTAGACTAATCTCATTGTCCAATCAGCGCTCTAAACTCGAGCTGGAGAAAGAGGTCAATTGTTCAGGCGGCCATAATTGTGTCCCAGTCTCCCACGATCAATCCATGGTCAGATATGGAAGGTTCACCACACACACCCACGATGGCTAGGTTAAAGAGTCAAATTCCGACCTCGTAATCATTGACGAGCCAGCCCATCTGCAGCCAAGCTAAGCCGCGGAAATATGCCACCGCGATAGACTATAGTGGACACCCAATCTACATGTACTTGATGTTCCTGTGTGACCTCTTTCGCATACCCGCCGAAGCTAGAGAATGACCTGCATGCTATCGACAAGGTGTCCTGGACACACACGGACCACATGCCCATTTACTCACCGAAATCGACATTGGGTTTGTTTTCACATTCTCACCTCGAGTACTCGTAGTTCTAGAAGACGGCGGCCGGACGAAGCTCCGAATATTGCCGCATATGGGGAAAATCAAGGACTAGTCCTATCATTATGCCTCAGAACCCGGTGCGCAAATCATATACCATTGGAATCCCGCATGTCGGGTCGGAAGAACATCGAATCAAACATGCCGCCATGCGTCCTTTTTGGAAAATTCAACTCAGAAAACTAGCTGATACGAGTAGGTTACATATTCGAACAAGGAAACGTCTGCTTATTTTCCACTCCAGTTGTTACTCACTTTAGAAGAATTTTGAACAGGCGTAGTTTACATAATGCTGGCGTAACAAAATATTCCACTTGCCTATGTAGTCTAGAAGCTAAAGGACAATTGTCATCACCACACACCACAAAATCTTAGCCGATATAATATTTGCGCCAATGGGGTCGTCTTGGTGGCCTGCATGACGACTACGATTGATTCTCCTTACAGAACGGCCTTACAGAACAGCCGATGTATGCTCAATTGAAGTAATCAAAGGAGAAAAGAGAGTACCTGCAGGATACCATGTTGGTTGTTGGATCCCCCACTCAACGGCATCTTCACTGCATCGTCCGTCCCGGCCATCCTCTGTTCGGTTTTTACACTTTCCACTTCAATCGTTCAACTGTTATGTTGTAGCATGGAGGGGGGGGGGGGTCCCGAAAAATGAAGTCAAGAGCTGTTATTGGCGGGCGCAATGCAGGTCGTCGTGTGATGGGAGACAAGTCCCTGATCGGATTGGCTCGGTGCAGCTCGCTTGCGACCAATCAACGTGCGATTTTAGACGCCCAACCGCCGCTTCCCCGCTAGCCTAACCTTGTCTCCCACGGTCCCCCGCCAATCTTCTCCCTCTTCCCCTCACCCACGTTCTATTTTCATAGCACCGTCCATGGTATTGTTTACTATCAAGGTTATGTGTGATGGTGGGACTCCCACATTTTCCAGCTGCTTAGCCGCCGCTTGTCTTTGAGATGCAGTAGTCCACCCCCGCCTGCTGACTTTTGACATGCACAGAAAATATGCTAGTGTCGATAATCTAAGACCCAGACCGGCACGCAGGCCAAGACGATGCCCACCATCTTCCCACTACCTGTGTCCACACTTCCCAGCTTGGTAATTATGGAGATGCACGGCGTTGAGGTGTTGTGCCGGTAGGCTGCCTTGCTGGAGCCCATACCACATCCGCGATCCCTTGTCTAATCCCTGCCTTTTCTAGGGAGATGTGATGGTCGCTTTGACTGGCCGCCGGGTCGCACCCATCGCGGCCTCGGGACCCCAACATATAATAGAGCCTCTCCTCCTCCATTCCCTTTCCTTTTCCTCTCTTTCTTTCTTCGGCAAGCATTCAATTTCCCAGAGCTAGTTTCTCGTTTCTTCTTTTCCCCCTTCTTTTCCCTTTTCACGCCTGACAGAGCTGTGCTCAGTCTTGCATCTTAATATTCAAATTAATCATACTCACAAAATTCAAAAAACCATACTCACGATAACCTCAGTTGCCGGTCAACTGATTCGCCCCCAATAATTCATCTCCGAATATCCCCTAATAGAATCTAGAAACTAGCTTTCCCCTTGCTCAAGTGTAATTTCCCTGGCGGAAATTTCCATTCAACCGACAAAGAAACGACAATTTGACAACTTTTTGTGATAACAACATCAAAAGCAAAAATGGCGACCATCCAGCTGTCTTTCTCTCTCCGCGTTTCTTCCGGCGTCAAGTCCGTCCACCTTCTCGGCTCTTGGGACAACTACTCCGGTCAGATCCCCCTTTCCAAGGACAAGTCTTCCTCCAAGTCCGGATCGTGGAAGGGCACTTTCCGATTCCAAGGCAACCTCGAGGCCGGCCAGCGATACTGGTACTACTACATCATCGATGGCTACCACGTCTCGCACAACCCCAGTGAGGCCTCGACCGTCGAGCCCACCACTGGCCGTGAACTCAACATTCTCGATGTCCCCAAGGACAAGTCAAGCAAATCCTCCTCCAAGACCTCTTCTCGCTCCTCGCGTGAGAAGCACCGATCTTCCAAGCGCGAATCTCTGAGCCTCGAGATTCCCAAGGGCCGTCCTCTCTCCGTCTCCCAGATTGTTGCTCCCAAGCCCGTGTCGCCCAATGCCACACGCAACATCCTGACTGGCAACTACTACAACGAGGATGAGATCGACGAGCTCACCGCCCGCTTTGGCAGCCACGGCTTCGACGAGGAGGACGTCCTCACCGACTTCAGCACTTCTCCCGTCTCCTCTTCGGGCTCCAGCCTCTCGTACCGCTCCGGCAGCTCTTCGCCTTCTTCTTCAGTTTCGGGCTACAGCACCCCTGCCTCGGACTGCAGCAGCTGCACCTGCGAGCGCTACGGCATCACCCGCAAGGGCGACCGCGTCAAGATCGACTGCGGCGGTGCCCGCTGCGGCTACACCGACGAGGACAGCTCCTGCTCCAGCTCCGAGGATGAGGAGGAATACGTTTCCCGCT